CGTCAGGGAGCTGTGTGTGGGCCGGCCTGGGCGGGACCTCCTCCCTTATCCTTATTCAGGATGTCTTCAGTCCAAGATGGCCCTAAACCTGGGACATCAGCTCTGTCAGAGCCACGCAGAGAACATGCAGGGACTCAGTGTCCGACTCACCAAGATGCACGCACACACGGGGAAGGCGAGACCCACAGGGTGGAGCTCCTTAGGCATGGACACACACAGGCTCACCCTGCTGCCCACTGCTGTTCAAGAGCTCGCTTAGGGCTGTCTAGACAGAGCTGCTCCCATGCAGTCCCTCATCAATAGTGTATTTCTAATCATCCCCGGCGAATGAAGTGTGCACAGGATGCCCCTCTTTCATGACTACCCAAAAGGCAGTATCTGGAAGCTCTCATTTTTAACTCAAAATGTCCCATGGGGCACGGTGCAGGGGCCTGGGTGCCCTGTCCCATGTGTCCAGCTGGCTGCTGTACTTCCCAGCCTTCTGAATCAGAATGAACCCTTGTCTCCTCAATGGGAGGCGAACGTTACATGACGCCCTTGGCCCTCATACAAGCACATGCACATATACACTCACACCCTCACACCTTATCACAGGGCCATGGACTGGAGCCCATGCATGTTTCCCAGAGACTTCCAGAGAGTGGGATGCGGAGGAAAGCTAGGCTAGAGTCTGCCCCGTACTGGTGGCCAGAGACAAGAATGAGACATGGCTTTGAGAAGGCCTCTGTGTGGTCATGCCCCCGCCTGCTGGGCCACCTCTGCCAACTGCCACGTGAAGGAAACCTTTCTCTGCTATAAGGACTAGCCAACGGCGTTCCCCTGGGGACCTGTGGCGACAGCCTCGGGTGTCAGTGTGTGGGAACAAGAGGCGAGTGAGGGGTGGTGGTGCCCACCATTGGGGCCACCACAGAGGATCCAACCACGGCGGGCCAGGCCACAGCTGGCCAGCCGCTACCTGCTCAGGGCCACTCCATCGCCTCAAGGCTGGCCCGGAGACCAGAGACAGGGAGGGAAGAAGGAAGAGGAACAGGCTCTGAGGGAGGAGGCAGAAGTGCCGGGCTGAACGAGGTGTCCTGGGTGGGCTGGAGGACACGCTTCCCAAGGGAAGGCTTTGTCCACTGCTCTGAGAAAAGCAGATGCCGGTGACTCTACCCCATTGTGCAGGGTGGGGTACAGGATGGGTGGGGAGTAAGGCCCAGAAATTGGGCTGACTGGAGAGGCAGGCACCTTGCTGGACTGAGATGTCACTTCCAGCCACAACAGGAACAGCCA